TTTGTTTATTCCAACTGAAGGCTGTGTCTAGGCTGCAGAGCAACATGGGGTACCTTGTGATTGGTGTTTGGTGCCTTGTTCTCCCTGAAGGCAAGGCATTCTTTTGTGTTCATGGTAACGTTGCCAGTAAGAATGAACTTCTGGTCTTCCTCTACACTGGGGTGGGAAGGGCGTGCAGAGCCTGAACGCTGTGGAACTCTGCCACTGCCATGGTGTTGAGACAGAGAGAGGCGACAAAGACACAGAGATAGGCAGAGAGAGAAAGACAGAGATAGATGAGGCACAGAAAGAAGACAGAGTAAAAGTTGTCAGAAGGGTTTCTTGCTGCTAACCCCAAGAAGGAAAGTGAAGTAACCCCAACTCCCCAATAATGAGCTGGGGTCTGCCAATGCTGGAGACCCTCCTGCCCTGAGCTCCCACATCTTGCTACCTCTAGTGGCATCCTGGCATTGTCTCATTAGGAAGCCTGTGGACAGCCCCATAACAGTGTGCTTTGTCAGGCCAGCAGCAAGCACATCTTGATCAACACACCTGTCAACACTGCCTTCAGGCTGTGAGGCAGACGGGAGGAAATGTGTGTTATGTGGTCAAAGATGTCCTGGTTTGAGTTTCCTAATTTGTTTTGGATTCCAGGCACAAGAGAATATCTGATGAGCATGAGCAACCCATGTGCAGAGGAAATCTCCACTCAGTACTCCTGGCACGTGAGCCTCCCAGGACCTCCGGGCCTCCCTGTCAGGCTGAATCATAATTGTACAATCTGGGACTGGGAGGATTTCCAGGACAGGCATGCTTGTCAAAGGAAGGAGACCTGATGTTTGCTGCTGGCTCCCTGTCCTGAAGGCTGAGAGCAAGGGGAGCTGCTCCCCTGACCTTCTCACAGTTGGGCAGGTGAGGGATGTGATAGCAGCTGCCGCCACGTGGAGCTGCCTCCAGGAAACTACTCTGACTTGTCCCAAACGAATGAAATCCTTTCCTTCCAGAATGAATGTTGTTTCTCTGAACATCTCCAATAGCATTTTTTCACTTCATCATTACTGTTGCCTATGACTTAACTCCCATGAGTTGCAAGCTGTTTGAGGACAGGTCCAGGGCTGAGTTAGTCTCCCCCCATAGGATGCATCCAGAGCTTGGCACACAGCAGGAGTCTCAGCATGATGCGGCTGTTGGCGGGAGCAGCCACGTGCTGGTGACTGTTGTGTTGGTGGTGGCACCTGTGTCACGGATGCTGGTGGTGAGGCTTGGTGGCACCTGTGACACGGATGCTGGTGGTGAGGCTGGTGGCACCTGTGACACGGATGCTGGTGGTGAGGCTGCTGCTGTTGGCCGCAATGGTGGTGACGGCGGTGTCTGTGACTCTGAAGCTGATGCAGTCCGTGATGATGCCAGGGTTGGAGATGCCGCCTCTGTTCCTGGTGATGGCACTCGCAGTAACTGTCATGTATCAAACACCTCCTCCAGGCTATGGGCGAGGCACTTTTGCCTTCGCACTCCCTAAGCCTAACAACTGCTTTTAATGAAAAGAACATGGTTTTACTGGTTTTGCAGGTGGGAGAAGTGAAGTATAAAGAACTAAGTTAAGCAGTCCGAAGTCTCACAGTTACAATGCACTGTGCTGTGTGTAACTCCCACACGAGTCTTTTTTTCCTATTGATTTTCTTTAGCGTATGGGTGAGGGAGTCCCTCCTGCCTTCTGTGGAAACACTGGGAATTCAGACTGCATGTGCAAGAATAGGAGCTCAGCCTCACGCCCAGCAAACCTGAGCAGCTACCCTCAGTGTCTTCATACATAGAAGGTGGACTGTGCCAAGGGCACCAAACTTGATTTCTCTTATACAATTCATGTACCACAGGTATCTATGCCATGTGCTGGAAACTAGCCAGTGTTCATGCTTTGAGGTTGTTGATTTCCAGATTTGGGCATCTATAGTCTTAAAAATTAGTTGACATTATCTTACAAAACCCCACATTACAGACATGCGTTAAAACTGAAAACATCTTCAAAATATGAATTTTGAAAATGAGTCACCCCTCTTAAACTTGGACCTGAAAACAGAAGAAAACTAATCTAAGAATTTCCTGCTTTAGGGAAAAAGGTCATGCCCAGGTTGTACCTCCCAAGCCAGAATCCCATTGCTCTGTTTCTGGCACAGCTGCCTGCTAATGGTCTGGGAAAATCAGAGATGGTTCAAGTGTTTGCTCTCCTGCACTCACGTGGGAGACCCAGATGAGGCTCTTGCATTTGAGGCTGCGTGGGAAAGCATGGAAGCATGCTCACTTTCTCTCTGTTTAATTGACTTTCAAAGAAATAAATCTTTAAAAGGGACAGAGAGAAAATGAAGGCATGGAAAGTTAAGTAAAAACAGCAGAAGGAGTTCCAAACACTTGGATGCCAGGCTTTATTGTCCTCGTCCCCATTTCACAGATGGCATTGGAACTAAATTTTAATTCGCTCCATTCCCATGGTTGCTGACATCTACACTGAGAGGAGATTTAGTTCAGGGAGCTCCAGAATCCCAGCGAGACTGAAAGCCTCACTGTGCGTCTTCCCAGGTCACATCTCTCCTGGTTTGAGGATCGACACCTGCCCCTCGAGGATCCACAGTGGTTTACAGAGCACCTGGTATGGCGCAAAGAATGGATGTTTTCTATTAGCCTATGCTACTCTCTTCCTCTATGCCTTAATTTGATTCAGAAAATAAACAAACCTAAAAGAGTTTGTCCCAGTCTACTGCTCAGACCACATTTTGCTGTACTTTTGTAACTCATCCTGTTAAGCCTGCTGTATGCTCTACCCTGGGCTGTCCTACCCAGCTTTAATTAAAGGCCCTTTGAGAGGAAGCCTCAGGTTAGCCTGTGTTCCTGGCAAAGAGAGGAGAGATGCTTGTGGGCCCATTAATGAGGCATTTGAATGCGAATTCCCAGCCCCCAGTCTAGTGACCTGACCAGGTGTTCAGAGACAGCCCTTCTGAAAGGGAGTACAGGCCTAGTGGAAGATTGACACTTGCTCCCAATTTGTGGCAGATTGCTGGAGGGGCTCTTTGTTGTGATAGCATTTTTTCCCTCTTTGTCTCTTACCTTGCTTTCTTCTTTTTTTTTTTAAATGAAGAGCAGTTGATGTCAGCTAGTTCTTGGACAAATTTGAACAATTTGGATGATAGGTAGAGTCACATCATTGTGGAAACAATAAAAAATTTAGAGATCACGTCTGAGTTCCTCTTGGACAGAGGAAGAATTGAGTGATTTTCCTGTTCATTTACCAGATCCAGAGCCAAAGCCCATCTCAACCTAGTTTGCCACTTGTAGCATGACCACATGGATGTCCAGGTGCAAAGGCTGAATCCAAGTATTAGTGAAAGTAATCAGGGTGGGGAGACTGGACCACTTGCCTTAAATTCTGTTTGAATACATTAACCAGATGCCAAGAGGAACACAACTCTTAACTCAGAATGCATCATGTGTCCGAAGGAGGTAAAAATGGAAAACTGTGAATAAGATTTAAAATTGTGTGCCCCATGGACGATACTTCACCTACGAAGGAGTTTTGAGTGTGCTTCTGTGACAGCCTTAAGCATTCTGAAAGGTCTCAAAGTTGTGCTAGTTCTTGACATTATGGTGGTGCCATAGTGAGAGGTAACTTTTCTTTTACCTGTCCTATACATAAGGACTGTCACTTGGCCCTGCCCGTGCTGGTGGTAGAAACAAAGTGTGAAGAGGTCATTGCTTCTCTGGTGAAATTGACTAGAGCAATGAGGAAAACCGGAGGCAGAGGTTCATTGATAAGGCAATCAGGACATTGACCAGTAAATGATGTTATAGACCATGTTTTGATGAGGGTCACTGGCAAATTCCCTGGTACAGAATTAATTACTATTCCAAAAAAGTAGGCTCTAGAAATGTTTAGAAAAGAATTGGGAATGAAGTAGGTACCACCAAAGTAGTTGGAGACTACTGAAGGTTACCGAAGGAAAGACAGAACTGTAGGGGAAAGAGGTTTGTGTAGTTGGAGTAAACACCATGCAAGTAGACAAGGCAAATAGAGATTTTTGCCAAGAAGATAAATAAGTGGCCAATAGGTGCAGGGAAGATACCCAGTAACCTAGGCCATTAGGGAAATGCCAGTCGAAACATTAAGAAGATAGTGCATCCTATTCAACCACTTGGGCAGTAGTAAATGTTGACAAGGCAGTAGTGAGAAGTGGAACCTCAGACTTTACTGGTGGGATTTTAAAATGGTATAGCTTTGCTGGAAATGTTTGTCAGTAGATTAAATGTAGAATCATGTGACCTAGCAATTCCATAGCCTCAGATATACCTAAGGTAATTGAAAATGTACCTAGCAAAAAATTAGAGATGATTGATTGTGGCATGAAAACAATCCAAAATAGCACCAACTGGTCAGTAAATAAACAAAATATTGGTTCTTCATACAATAGAATTATAACATTAGACTTAAAAAAAGGAAATTCTAACATGTGCTACAACATGGATGCCCTTGGAGTGCATGCTCTGTGAAAGAAGCCAGACATTGAAGACAACCCAGTATATGATTTTATAAATATAATGTATCCAAAATAGGAAAATCCATGAAGACAGAAAGTAGATTAGTGGTTCTCAGGTGATGGACTCATTAAGGAGTGAAAACAGTGTCAGGTTTCTTTTTAGGGTGATGAAATTGTTCTGGAATCATACAGTGGTGATGTTTGCATGACTCTTAATACACTAAAAGCCTTTGCATTGGATGAATTTCAAGGCCTATAAGTTACATTACCAAAAAAGATGTTATTGGAAAACCAATGTAATGATTATGGAATAGGAAAGTTGGTCTGGCATTGGACTGAAAATGAAGAGTTTTGTTTGATGTTTGCATCTCACAGAAGCCTGAAAAAGATTCATAGAAAGCCTCTACAGAGGCCTTGAAAATTGAGATCAGATACCACTATGGCTAATAATTTAGATTTAGCTGCTGTTTCATTGTTTCATTCCTCTGCTCCCTTCAGGGTTACAGCCCATTTCCTGACAGCATCCTGACTTATGTGGCACACACGTCTGCACTGACCTATCCTCCCGTGTCCCGGACGAAGTACCCGGAGGAGCTCTCACCTCGGGCCTTCAGCCGACTGCAGCCGGATGAACTGAGCCCCAAGGTGGACAGCAGTATGGATAGGCAGCACCTGATTGCAGCCCTCAGTGCGTACACTGCGCAGAGGTCCCCTGCAACCTCCAGGGAGGGTGATCCAGGGCTGCAGTACCTTCTGCGTGCTCCCTCAAGAGCACCAAGGCCCTTCTTGGCACCATCAGTCTCCCAGAAGTGGTCTTCACCTCCAGGAGACCCCAAAGACCCCAGCATGGATGATGGTGAGTGATCCCCTTGGTGTCCTGTTGGCTCCCTTATGTTCCTCTGGCAAACCCTCCCTGATGTTGACTTCACTGTGTCCTTCCCATGCTGTGTGAGGTCTTCCCATCAGTGTGGCAAAGGGAGAGCAGGTCTTCTTTATGCCCAAGGAGACACCCGCTGCTGGTTGAAGGGAGAGGCAAGTGTTCCTGGGTGGCAAATATCTGACCATGTTTAGTCTTCACTTCTTTGTCATGCCTTCTCCAGATTTCACAAGTCCGTTATTTTATAATGATAAAACAAATTGCGTGAGGAACCTGGTCTATAGGTTGTACAGTGCACATTGGGTTTTTTTTTTCTTTTGATGGAGGGGTGGGCACGGGGATGGCAAAATAGAAATGCTTCCATCTGTCCCCTGCTTCCCTATTGAGATGGCCAAAGCCATGACCATTCACATGTCTGCGGTTGTTTGCTTTGCCCTCAGCAGTACCTAATCTGAGAATGGTGCCATTTATGATGCATCAAGCATATAGCATAGATGCTGAAGTGACTGTCTCGTCAGCACTGTGGTTTGTAGGATATTTATGTGCAGTATGGCCGTGTTTTGCTCATCCCACGGAGGAAGCTACTCGACAATATGTGGATGGCTCTGATCTATTCATTTTCTAACAGTGTTTCCCTAAAACCACCTTAAAGTGGGTTTCTAATAAAAGATGACTTCTCTTTTGAGATACACAAATGCCAAAATTAAGCAGATAACAGGTATTTTTTTTAATGCTGCCTGAGAATCACATTAACATTGCACTCTCTATTTTCTGTAAGTGTAAGCTTAATTGAGGTTGCTTTGAAAGTCCTCTTTTTACTGACTGCTGCCTTTCAGCTGGGTAGCTCTCTCATTCTCACTCTCTCTTTTGTCCATATAGCCATTATGGCAATTTCTAAATGGAATGAGCATAAAATTAAAATTAGAGGGAAAGATGTGTTCCATTACTGATGTTTTCACCTTGTTTCTGTTCTGAGAGAAGGCGGTGTGTAAGGAAAAAGACGGTGCATGTGACGAAGAGTTGTTTGTGCATCAATTCACCATTAGTGAAACATGCTTGTATATGGGATATCACCTTTTCCTGCGTCTCTTCCCTTTGGAAACTGTTTCGTTGCTGCTTCACACCATGCACCACTCTGAGAGATCCTTTTGCTTGAATGTGGCTCTCACAGGGTCGCCATGCTTTGTGATCAAGCTCCACTCAGGATGGTCCCCACCATCTCCAGTTCTCCGCAGTTTGCCCTCTCCAGGGTGCTGATCGCCTCCTCATGTTTTTTGTGTTCCTTGCTTTATGCCGGAGGTGCTGACCTCTTCTCTAATTCTCCCTTCTCTGTCTCCTGTCCTGCCTGCCACAGCAGAAGAAGCCCATTTACTGATCACTTCTCTCCTAATTATTGGAAGCACCTCTTCTAGAACTTTGTCATATTGGTTATTTTTTTAAACATTCCATTTTCCCAGCTGCACTGTTTGCTGTAGATGTGTTATGTGAGATACCAAAGGACGGTAAAAAGATCCCCCATTCCTGCATCACCTGGTTTCTACAAATGGCAACACATGGATTTTCTTGGTACTTCTGTGCATCTGTGCCCACTCATACCGTGGTCCTCCCCGGGTGACTGTAAAACAAACTGAGTCATCAAATTGTGTTGTCTGTTGACATTTCACTATTGTAATGCTGGAAGATAAGGACTTTTCTATAAACCTATCCATGATCATTTTGTCATACATAAATATTCATAATAGTGTGTAAATATCACCAAATATCTTTTCACTGCTCAAGGTTTCTAATAGCCTGGGTTTTCCACAGTTGGTTCTTTCAAAGCAGGACTCCTACAAGGCTCACCGAGTGGGTGGGTAGATTTGTTAAGCACTGTATCATCATTAGGAGCATTTTCCTCCCTCTTTTTTCTTTCTTAGTGTTTTCCCCAGAGTCTAGGAAAATTGTATTGAAGAGTTTCCACACTCTAACTTTACCTTCTGCATCCCGAAGATGTGTAATTCATTCTTCTCTTATTTTCACTAATGTAGCAGTGAGACCTAGAACTGAGACCATTTGTGTTTAGCTCTTGCAAAACATATTTGACGGTAGGATCTGTTGTGTTCCCAGGAGGCTCAGGCTGTCTAGCTGGGCCTAGTGTCAGCAGCCATGGGCCAGTAACCTCCCCTGTAGATCCCGACTTACTGTTCCCAATCTGCTTACAAGACGAGCTCCACCTCTACCTTCTGCCCAAGGCTGCCTCTCTTGACACCTGCCTTTCACTTTAGTTTGCAGTTGCATATTTGTGACTATTCGGTAAGTATGTTTCCCTTCTTAACAAAAAGGGTGCATTGCCTTTCTGGTCACCGTTTGTATCTCAAGGGCCCGGCGTGGGTCTGACACAGCATTTGCTGAGTGAACGAGTTCCTCCATGTGCGAAGGAAATGACCCCAGGGGCCCCTCGTGTCAACCGTAAACGATGGTATTATTCTCAGCCTCATTTTCCTGATGAGGAAGCTGAAGTGTCACAGGTTAAATGTTGACTCCTGACCAGGAAGTCAGATCACTCCAGAGCAAGTGGGCGCTCTTAAGAACCCATTACCTAAAATGTAACTTTAAGCACCATGGACTTTGTCTCCATGGCTAATTGGTCCTGAGCTCTGATGTTTAAAATGGACATTCAGCTCCACATATCTAACTTCCTCTGGATGTTGGTGGTGTGCAGAGCTAAAGCCGTTGTCGGGCAGTGGAGATGAGTGAGATCAGCCCCGCAGCGTGTGCTGCACTGGAGGTCAGAGACAGCAACAGCCATTAACGGAGATTAACTGCTGCTGAGATTCTGGGAGAAAAAGACCACCTGAGGCAGAGCATGGCAGCTTGGACAGACAGATACAGACGTCTTTCCTCAGAATCCAAAAGAAAAGCAAAGAAGGTACCAACTTGCCCTCCATCTGCAGTCTAGGATTCCCTTGGATTATGTCTCCAGCGAGAGCCCAGTGGGGATTTAAGAGATGTTGACAGTCCCTAAAAAACTGCTAGCAGCTCTTAGGGTCCCAGGAACAAGGTCATATAGATTGAAGGTGTCCACGAGGACAGAGCCTCATAGGATGATGTGAAACTCCATTTTACCTTGGGAAGAAACAGTGAGAACGTCAGTAGGCAGAGCCAGAGGTGGCATCCAGGGGTTTCTCTTGCACTACTCCCCATACTTAGGACATTTGTATTTTCATGACTGTCTCAAGAGTGGATGACCCAGGCCTGGCACAGTAGCTGATGTTCTAACCTTGCACCTGCCAGGATCCCATATGGGTACTGGGTCATGTCCTGGCAGTGCCGCTTCTCATCCAGCTCCCTGCTTGTGGCCTGGGAAAGAAGTCGAGGATGGCCCTAGACCTTGGGACTTTGTACCCACAAGGGAGACCCATAAGAAACTTCTGGCTCCTGGGTTTGGATTAGCTCAAGTCTGGCCATTGCGGCCACTTGGGGAGTGAATCAGTGGATGGAACATCTTCTTCTCTTTCTTTCCTCCTCTCTGTATAGCTGACTTTCCAATAAATAAATATTAAAAAAAAAAAAAGTGGATGGCCCAGGTTAGCCAGGCAGCACATGACACTCAAAGGGTGACCACACTGATCCTTCAGACAGGACAGAGGGAACCTTGCTCACACCTGCTCCCAAACACAGGCCAGAGACACTCAGGCTATGTATTGAATGGATATGGCCTAAGTTCACTTGGAAACAAAACCCAAAACTTTTTTCATTGTTACTCCTTATCATTGCTTTAAAAAAAATCCCTCTTTAAAGCACCTTAAAATAAACAATGATGCAGTAGCCTGGAAAGGGCACTCAGTGAAGCATGTTGTCGTGTTGGGGGAACTCAGGGCTTATCCAGCTTGGCAGCTCCAGTTCATGAAATTCAGCCTGCCTTAAAGGAAGGCTCGTCCTTGGGATGCCATCATTTAGTGATGGGTTCACTAGTGGAGTCAGAATTGGAAACCTCAGTTGCAGTGCATATTTGTCATTTGTAAAAGACTTGTTGGTTACTGTGTAAAATTTGAATAATGCATATGTAAGCAGGTGAGTCATCTTTCGGCTCTTCGGCACAGGATGCGTGCTGTCCCCACTTGGTGTTTATCCCTGCAGCATTTTGTGTGCACCTGTGGGGCCTCGTGCCAAAGCCAGTATAATCACAGGTGTGGCCATAAGCGGTTGTTGTCCCCTCTCATTATGTCTATCTAATATTCACTGGGCTTTTCCCTGTCCTCTCCGGCTACCCCAGACAAAAACTCTGGTATACACCATGGACTCTGGCCACCCATGGGTAATGAGAAATGCTATGTCCACTTTTGTGCTTGAAATTTTAATTAGGACTTTTGCCATATCAGTGATGTTTTGAATGTCCTGTTCCATAACGTGACACACACTGCAGCACAACCATCGCCACCGTCTCTCTCCTGAATTTTTTTCTCAGCCTGGATAGAAACTCTGTCCCTTTGACACTGACCCCTCATTCCTCCCTCTGTCCCTCAGCCCCTGGCACCCACCATTTTTCTTTTTGTCTTTGTGGATTTGACTCCCCTGGGGGCTTCATGTGAGTGAAGCAGTCTGGTTTTTGTTTTGTTTTGTTTTTGGTGGCCTTATTTCACTTTATAATGAGCATAGGTTTTAGCCTGTTGTAGCATGTGCCAGAATATCCTGGTTTTAATTAATTTTGAAACCTCTGCTCACTGAAGGTATTGCTAGCATTTTTGCTGTACCATTCAGTACATTTTACTCACTGCTTTTTGGGGTAAAGTCCTCGATTAGATGTACTGTAAAACATTGAAACCATCTGTACATACACCCATCTATTAAACTATATACAGTTTGTCAATTTTAGCAACTTATACAATGAGCAGTTGACATCTCTATGCATACATTTTTTCAAATAGAAGATCCTTAATTATAGTGTGTCTTAGGTCATTGAGCCTTTATTTTTTTTAAATAAATGTTTTTAACACACA